GCTGGGTTTTACCCAGCAGTTCTACACCCAGCGTCCTGTTTTCCCCATAGGTGCCTCCAAGCATTTTCCACTCATGAACCTTCCTCGCTCCCATGGGTTTCCCTGGGATTTTTTGGTAGTCCTACCAGATTCCTGAAAGGCATCTCACCATATATTGATCCCATGTGATGTCTGAAGGAATAGGAGGGTCAGGGAGCTCGGCTGTGTCTCTGCTGCTTTCACAGCCCTTTGAGCTGCCAGTCCCCAGCCCAATGTGAGGACAGCTCCCTCTCGTTAGGCATTGGTTTTAATTTATTTATCTGTGCACACTCCAGGTTACATTAACACTCTTCCCAGAGCATCTTTCTTTTTAATCTCCTGTACGTGCTGTAATGGGCCTCCTGGGAGCAAGGGCCTAAGAGGAGGGAAAGGGAATTGCATGTGATCGCAGTGCTTGCTTTCTTTTAGCGTTTTCTGGTGCAGAAATGCTTGAGATGCTTTGGAAGAGGAAGGGAAATGGGGTGGGAAAGAGGAGGAGCTCGCGTGGCTGGGGGCTGTGGAGGGCAGGGAGAGATGCACTGTGCTGTGGGGCATGAGGCTGCATTGCATGCACGGTGCCTCAGTTTCCCCACTCTCCTCAGCCAGTGGCCTCATGCCAAAGGAGGCTCTGTGCTTCTGTTAAGGCTGCTGCATTTGTGCCCTTCCATCAAGGCTGCTGCAGGCATGCCCATCACCGTGGCACTTTGCCTGATCCTGGTTCCCATTTCTGCTTCACTCCCATTACCTGCCCAGTGCAGCAATCATATCCCCTTAGCTGCCAGGTGTCATGCTGCAACCAGCACCTCTGTCCCTGTGCTGCTGCAAAGGCTGGGGAAAGCCCCCAGGTGTCCCAGCTTCATGCTCCCAGCAGTGCCCCCACATTGCACCGCTGCAGGCTGCAAACCCTGCATGAACACACCCTCCTTGTAGGGATGGAGCCTGACACATTGCTGCAGTTTCTGGACATGAAGCACTGCTTTGTTTCCCAGAACCTTGCTCTCACAGGGACACACCACCAAGTCCTGTCTCTAAGGACTCTGATCCCATGGCCAGGCTCAGGCCAACGCCCTGCTCAGATTTGTAAAGGGATCATTGTGCAGTCAGTCAATAAAGAGACATAAAAGCCATAACAAACACGACATCAAACACGACATTCCCGCACCAGGAGTGCCTGAGGCTGGGGACCAGTTATAGGGACATCCCAGGGTGACCCCAGCATGAAGGTGCCCACAAAAACGACTCAGCCATTGGGGTGCATCAGCCACTAAACCCAGCACAGCACCCACTGCACGGCTGAGACCGTGGTGCAGCCCCACTAAGGGCCAACTGCGAGTCCGCACGCAAATCCCAAACGCACCCTTTGAGGAGAGTCCTCCTCTCCTGTTAAGTAATTAAATAAAGCCCCGAGCTCTACTAAAATTAAAATAACAGAATCCATTTATTCTGGCAGGGTCTGCTGGTGGCTGCTCTTGCCAAAAACATTTTTGTGGTTCTTGTCTTTTCAAGTGGCTCTTTCGCAATAAAACCCAGATGCCATTAGTCCAGGGAGGCCTCCAAGCAACTGTTTACGTCTATGAAAGATGCCCTTTGTAATTAATTAATCTCCTGGAAGCTGTGGCAGCACATTCCTGGTGGGTCCCAGCATGTCCCTGCCCGCCAGGCTGGCAGCTGAGGTGCAGGTTCATTCCTGAGCGCTGAAGAAAGCCTTTGTGCTGCAGCTCAGCCATTGAAGGGGTTAATCTGCTCCTCAGGAAGACGCAGCAGAGATTTCAACACTTAACCTACCAAAACCCAAACAGAGGTTGGCATGACATTGCATGGGCTGCTGCTCTTGCTCAATGGCCAAGCACAGTTAAAAGAAGGTGGCTCTTAAGCACAGAAGCGCAGAATGGGTGCAGCAGGCACAGCTGAACAGCGGTGGGCAGCGTTGGGTGCATGAGAACAGGCAATGTGCAGAGGTATTTTTGTCATCTACATCCAGTTGGGTGTGATTAGCATTGGGGACTCATCCCAGTGCCATCAATTGATTTAACCCACCAGAAATCTGGCCAGGCTGTTTCTGACTCATATATCCTTCTGGCTTTGCAGCATTAGGTGATAGTAAATCCCAACACAGAACTATGGCTCTGCTTGGCAGAGGTCTCCCTTGTTCTGGTTTTGAACCAACCTCCATCCTTAGTGTCCAAAATGATGTTTTATGTCATCATGGAATCATTAAGGTTGGAAAGACCACTAAGATTGTCTAGTCCAACCATCAGTTCATCACCACCATACCACTAAACCACACCACTCAATGTGACCCTCTTCTTGAACACCTCCAGGGACAGCAGCTCCACCATCTCCTGTCAGGGTGTTGTAGAGAGCAGTAAGATCTCCCTTGAGCCTCCTCTTCTCCAGACTCAACCATCCCAGTTCCCTCAGCTGCTCCCCATAAGACTTGTGCTCCAGACCTCTGATAGCTCCGCTGCCCTTTGCCATCCTTTAGCAAGTGACAGCTCTCTCATACCACCCAGCTTGTTTCTGAACGTCTCTAATTCAGGGATTTCCCCCCAGTAGAAAACCTCAACAGACAACGACAAAGAGGTGGCTTCTGTAGGGACCGTGCCTCTGCTCAGCCTCTATGCAACTCGGTTTCAAACAGCAAGAGTTGCACTAGGAGTGGTCAATCCCCACTGCCTCGTTTGTAACATAACGACTCAGCCTGGGATTTGGTTGTTATTGGTGTTGTTAGCTGCTGTTGGCTTTTCATTGTTGCTGTCTTGATAGATGGGTTTAATTTGGCCGGCGTATTGCCCAGCTTTGCACACCAGATGTTGCTGCGACAGGGAGCAGTCCATCACCATGCGGCATCACATGGGGTCATTGCCTGGGGTCAGGGCATGCAGGACGCGGGTCCCAGGGCTGCAGTTGCCATGAGAACTGTGGTGGCACAGTGGTGAAGCCCCATCCATCTCCTGTTGCCCTTGGGTTGCTGGTGTAGGAAAAATCTGCCACCTTGGCTGGGGTCATGCAACCAAATGGTGAACCTCTGGCATTCCGCAGCCCCCATTTGGGGGTAATAACAGGGTGGTGTGAGTCTGATGGGAGGTCGACAGGTCGTCAGAGGGACCTCGACAGGCTGGAGGGCTGGGCTCGGGTGAACCTAATGAGGTTCAACACGGCAAAGTGCAAGGTTTTGCATTTGGGCCGGAAGAACCCCAGGCACCTGTACAGGCTGGGAGGAGTGGGCCTGGAGAGCAGCTCGGCAGAGAAGGACCTGGGGGTCCTGATGGACGAGAGACTGAATATGAGCCAGCAGTGCGCTCTGGCAGCTCGAAAGGCAAATGGGATCCTGGGCTCCATCAGGAGAGGGGTGGTCAGCAGGGACAGGGAGGTGATTGTCCCTCTCTACTCGGCTCTTGTGAGGCCCCATCTGGAGTACTGTGTCCAGGTGTGGAGCCCTCAGTACAAGAAAGACATAGAGATTTTGGAAAGGGTCCAGAGGAGGGCGACTAAGATGATCAGGGGGCTGGAGCACCTCCCCTATGAGGACAGGCTGAGGGAGTTGGGCTTGTTCAGCCTGGAGAAGAGAAGGCTGCGGGGTGACCTCATTGCAGCCTATCAATACCTGAAGGGAACCTACACCCAGGAGGGGAGTAAACTCTTCAAAAGGGCTGATAACAGCAGGACGAGGGGAAATGGTTTTAAGTTGAAGGAGGGAAGATTTAGGTTGGGTGTTAGGGGGAAGTTCTTTACTAGGAGAGTGGTTAGGCCCTGGAACGGGCTGCCCAGGGAGGTTGTGGATGCCCCGTCCTTGGACGTGTTTAAGGCCGGGTTGGACGGGGTCCTGGGCAACCTGATCTGAATGTGTATGTTTGGTGGCCCTGCTAGGCAGGGGGGTTGGAACTACATGATCCTTGAAGTCCCTTCCAACCCGGGTGATTCTGTGATTCTGTGATTCTGTGATGGATCTGATGTGCTGTCTATGTGCAAGGAGAGCTAATGGAGCTCCCGGGAGGAGCAGATGATCATTTGCTAAAATGTCCTGCACCCTTCTAGCTTGCCTTGTTTAACTCAGACGTCATCCACTGGCCAAATCCTGCATTCTTTTAGCATATCCCACCCAATGCCCAGCTCAGGAGAGCAGGAGTGACCCAAAACTGAGCCCTCATCTGGGCCAGGAGAGCTTCCCAGTAGCTTGCATGCAGAATTTCTTTGGGTGGAAGAAGGAAATTGCTGAGGTCAAGGAGCTGACATTGCACATTTTTATGTGACATCAGCTTGTTGCCACCTTGAAAATACCAAAAGATGGAGTCTTACATCCTGGCCCTTGCAAAATCCCTTGCACCCTGAAGAAAGAGAGTCTTGTTACTCAAGAAATTCACTGTTATTATGGGGAATTTAAGCCAATGTGCAGGAAATGCCAGTGTGGGCAGGATGGAATTTAAAAGGGGTAGGATGTCAGGATTGTAGAGGTTTGCTCTGTTCTTCCAGTGTCATGGCATAGAATCACAGAACAACAGCATGGTGAGGTTGGAAGGGACCTTCAACGTCCACAGCCCTAACTCTGCCATGGGCTGACTGCCCCTCACCAGCTCAGGCTGCCCGGGGCCCCATCCATGGTCTCAGGCACCTCCAGGAATGGGGCAACCACACTTCTCTGGACAACATCTCACTGCCTCTGGGTAAAGGATTTCCTCTTCATATCTGGCCTAAATTTCCCCTCCTCTTGTTTAGAACCGTTACCCCTTGTCTTGTCACTGTCTGCTCGTGGTAGGATGAGAGGGGGGATCCATCTCAAGAAGTCCTTTTGAGGGCAGAATAGGATTACACCAAGTTTCTGGTGTGTGCTAAGGTGCTTTTTGAGTCGGAGCACTATGGGTTGACTATCCATGCTAGAAGGAAAGCGAGCTGCGTTGGAGTCATGAGGTGTGAGGACATCATGGCTGTGGTACTTGGACACCTCTAAAATGTTTGGCACTAACGTGTCCCTCTCCCTTCAGGGACCTCATGCCCAGGACCCTGGAGGGGCAGATCACCATGGAGAAGACCCCCAGCTACTTCGTCACCAAGGAGGCCCCGGCCCGCATCTCCTCCATGGCCAAGGGCACGAAGCTGATCGTGGTGGTGCGGGACCCCGTGACCAGAGCCATCTCGGACTACACGCAGACGCTCTCCAAGAAGCCCGACATCCCCACCTTTGAGAGCCTGACCTTCAAAAACAGGACTACGGGCCTGATCGACACCTCGTGGAGCGCCATCCAGATCGGCATCTACGCCAAGCACCTGGAGAACTGGCTGCTCTACTTCCCCATCGGGCAGATCCTCTTCGTCAGCGGGGAGAGGCTCATCAGCGACCCCGCGGGGGAGCTGGGCAGGGTCCAGGACTTTCTGGGCCTCAAGAGGATCATCACCGACAAACACTTCTACTTCAACAAAACCAAGGGCTTCCCCTGCCTGAAGAAGGCGGAGGGCAGCAGCAAACCCCACTGCCTGGGGAAAACGAAAGGCAGGACCCACCCCGACATCGACCAGGAGGTGGTGCAGAGGCTGCGGGACTTCTACCGGCCCTTCAACATGAAGTTCTACCAGATGACGGGGCAGGACTTCGGCTGGGACTGAGGCTGACAAAAATAATTTAAGAAAAGGAAAATATAATATAATATATATTTTTTTTACGTATCAGTAGGGGGTGGGGGGAAACACAGAAAAAAAAATAATAGTTGTGCTGAAACATGATTCATTCTTAATTTTTTTTTTATTTTTGACCCTACTTTGTTGTCTTTCTTCTCTCAGAGATGTGTCACCAAAAGAGGCTGTGAACTGCAGCCTGGTGCTATGGACATCCCCTACAGCTTGGGTGCTCCTTCCAGCAGGCCTCAGGTTTTGCATTGGGATCCATTAAAAAAAAACATTGGGGTGCAAAGCTGCAAGGTATCTTCAGGTCACCTCCAGAAGTGATAGGCGAAAGGAGGAGTCATGGCCTGGCAGATCAGCTAGACTGTGGCTTGGAAATACCATCTCAGACCTTTTTTGTCCCTTTTTTACAATGAAACAAAGGAGGTGCAACATCTAATTTGGTTTTCAAAACCTTACTCTAGGAGATATTTTTTACTGCATAAAATCTTTGAGAGTTTTTCATTTATCCGTTTTTGGTTTGACATTTGCCTCTTCACTAAACCAAGCTCTTTTCATTGACCAAATTTAATTTTCACCTTACAGAAGCCAAAACTAATGTTCCTTTGGTTTGCTTTTGACCCCCAAAAAATCACCAAAAAGAAAACAAATATTATTCTTTTGGTTTTAGGATGGAAATGGTCAAGAAGTCAGAAGTTCCCATTCAAGGGAACTCCCTGCTCCCAGTAGTGTGCACCCCTGTTGTGGGCACTTCTCCCACTTGGGCCCATCTGAAGGGATTTGGGTGATGGGCAGGGAAGGGTTTATGATGCATGTGGACCTGTTGGGGGATGCTCATTAAACATCTGGAAGGTGGTGGGACCCCGCCATCCCACTGCTCACACACAGGAACCAAGTTTACAGTGTCTGGCGGATGATCTTTAAGCCATAATGAAGAATGTTTTGGGTGGCTGAAGGGTGGAGAAAGGGGAAAAATGAAGAAAAAATGCATTCAGAATGAGGAGAAGTTGATGGAAGGTTTCTTATCCTTTCCTGAAGAAGAACCAAGGGGGAAGTAGGGATGAGAGCATTGGTTGTGCAGACCTTTGAAACTGTCAGGCAAAACCAATCTCCTATTTGCAATAACTCGAAGGTTTAAATTCTTTGCTTTGATCATTATCACCTTTTTTGGACAGTAGAAATGGCTCAGAGACAGAAATCTATTAGTGCAGCAGGATCCTGTATTACCGTGGGCTTCTTTATCTGCTGGTTCTTTATCTCCAGCATTTTCTAGGTGATAGGTGCACCTAATTATGGCATGGTGCTGTGTACCAACATGATGCTCCCTTTCCTAAGCCCAACTTTAAGGAAGATGTGATGGGGGCCAATAAACTTACCTGGGCGTTATGGGCATTACCTGGAAAACCTGGCTGGGAGGGAGCATGGAGCCTCTGCTCACTGCCTGTCTGCATGTCTTCATGCCCCATTCCAGGAGGCATTCAAGGTCAGGTTGGATGGGCTCTGGGCAGCCTGATCTAGTAGCTGGCAATCAGCCTGCAGCAGGGGGTTGGAACAAGATGATCCCCTCCAATCTAAGCCAGTCTATGATTCTATGTTGGCCATGATCCTAATGAAATCAGAGCAGAGTTGTCAGGGAGTCCAAAGAATTTCACAGGGAAAAGATGCAGGGCATGTACCAGAAACTGCCATTCAATAGCAGTCATTTCCAGCTTGACCGTCCTGCTTGCTGTGTCAGGAGAACAGCTCAGGACCTGGGCAACTTCATGGCACCGAGTCCCACTGCAGGTGCTCAGCCACATCCCCTCCTGGCTGCCTGTAGATCCCTGCATCTTAAGAACACAAACCCACCTGGTTCTGCATGCAAGGCCAAGTTCCCCAGGCAATTAAGACCATTTCATTTGCACTGTGGGATCCCAGGACCTTCCCCCACCGCTGTACCCTCAAAGCTAATCTCAGGTCCCCGTGCCCTGGTGGCAGGGCTGTGGCATGGGGCTGCTGGCAGCAGCTGTGTCCTGGCCTCATGGCTCGGTGCAACCCTATCTGGCCCCACTGCTGATTTTCCCCTTCCCATATTCCTACCCCAGGCAACAAGGAGGTTTTCCAAGCTTCAAAAAAGAGTTACGCAGGTAGCTCCTTTGAGACTTAAGGATGGGATAAGCTGCACATCCTTTTGACAAGTATAAATATCATTTGAGCATAATTTTTAAAAAAATCAATATCATTATATTGCTGCTGTCTCTCATATGGTCACATTTGGACTAGCATAAACTGCTTTATAGTGCCACAGATTGTTCTCCCCATATTGAACCAGCTCTAGCAGTATGAAGCACCTTCCTACAAACGAGTTTCTACAACTGCCAGCAAATCACTGCCGTTAAATCCATACAGCTCCAGTGCATCCCCAAGCCCAACTCTCATATGTGCCTTCAAAACACTCCCAGCATCCCAAATTCAATTCCCATCAGTGCTGGAATGCTCTGCTTCCATTAATTTCTGAGGGTCTGACTCCCTCGATGCACACCTAGTCAAACCATTTAGGGATCGGGGGCTGTAATTGATTTATTTTTTTTTTATCTGGGCCATAAGTAGTTTTGAAAATCCCTCCACGTATGAACAATGGCTTTTAAAAAGAGGTCATGCAATCAGATCGCTTTGAACTCTAATGGCGTTTAAGCCTCTAAACTCTTTAGGCTTATTTTAAAATCCAGCCATGAAGTTTAGATTATTTTAACCTAAGAAGAATTGAAAGTCAAGCGTTGAAACCTGCAGCCCTCCTGGGCCCACGGCGCTGAGCATCTGTGTTAGGAGGACTAAGCAAAAGCAGCTATAAGTAAAAACCAAAGTGACCCTATAGAGTATGATTTAAAAAAAAAAAAAAGCAGAGAAATCAATACATTAATGATGAGAAACTAATTCAGGTAATCAAGATCTTTCTGATCTCAATAATCCAATGTGCCCTTAGGCACTGTAAAGCTTGGGCTCCTACACCGCACAGTGTTTGGAGTCTCAGGACATCTGTTTGAAAAGTAAACTTTACAGAGCACCCTGAAAATTTCAGACCAGTTGGGATTTCCTTTGTGAGCCCAATTTGGCACCGTGAGACACGGCCTCTGCTGCTGGGACCGGGGGGAAGGCAAGGAGGGGCTGCGGCTGTGCTGCAGTGAGCAGCACTGATTGCATGCAGTGAATGTCCTCAGCTCCTACAAAACACTGCCAACCAAGAATGTACTCGGTTAGAAAGAACACAAAGGTCAACATGCCATGAAGAACAGTGGAAGTACGTGGAATTTGGCGTGGGCTTTGGGCTGCAGCACCACAGAGTCCAATTTCTGGAGCATTTGGTGATGCCCAGCCTGCACTGAGTCATTTTGAGTAATCCTGATGCACAGCCTCCTTGGTTCTCTGGCACACACACTAGCATATGCAATGTTACATCTCCACATTTGGGGAAAAAAATGCCCGTTTTCTTAACCATTAAAAAAAATTCTTGTTCGTATATAATGGTTTCTGGATTTTCTCTCCTCCCTCTCCTCCGCTCTGTGATGCTGTCATCTCTTTCCCTTTGGTGCTATTCCAGTATAAAGCAGACTGATTTTAATTTAATTTAAGAATGAAAAAGCACACATTTAATAAAGTTTACGGGTACTGAGAGGCTGTGCTCTCTTTTTGCTGGCGGCAGCAGCCTGGAAGGAGCGGGGAGCTCTGAAAAAGGCAAAAGCAGAATTACCCACTCGTGTCAGTCAGTCTACAAAACCACTTGAGCTGGCACTGCTTGGTTGGAGATCCCCACTTTGGCTCTTGGTCTTCTTGGCACCACTTTCACAGCCTTCTATCTTCCACTTAGCAATGCTTGATGTCTTACTACAGTCTCTAGGCAGCAAAACACCTTGGAAAGCCAAGTCTTTGCATTTTGCCCCTCTGTTTTCCCCGTTCAGCAAACCCTGCCATGTCCCTTTGCCACCATTCACGGAATTCCTTCTTTCCCAAAACCCAGCACTGTGTGAAACCCGAGGTGGGAGCAATGCACCAAGAAACATAGACAGCCCCCATAGATCAGGTTCTCTGTGTGGTCAAGTAAAGCGATATTCTATTTACTTTTTCAGACGTATAAACAGAGAAAGTCCCAGGGAAAATATGCTCCCAAACTTCATAATATTTTATTAAACCACCGAAGTTTAATATAATCTTTTGGCTTCCATGGAAAAATGTTCCATTTCTTTGCTGAGCACCTTTGATTTTATTTTCTTTTAATTATTCCTATCCGGACTTAACAATGTGGGTTTTGCGCTCCACCCAGCGAGGAATATCCAGATTAGAAGTGAGGAATTTTGCTGAAATACAGAAATATCTGTGCATGGTGAGGAGTCAGCGACGCCTGGGTGGAAAACTCAGGGAAAGCCAACGTGTAGAATGAATTCCCCTCAGCCAGGCAATAACAAAACTGCATTCCTCAATCCACAGCATTTATTACCAGGACGTTGGCCAGCAATGTTCCTGGGGAAAAAAAAGATCAGACCTCCTTCATCTTAATGCTTGTCCACAGCCTGCACAGGGGCGGCAGCTCTGCACTCCGTGGGGAAAGCTCTCAATAAATCAGAGCTGATGCAGTGTCAGTGCTCAGGGTCACACAGTGGGAATGCCTCGGGATGTGGCATCCATCCAGGTGCGATGCTACTGCGAAGCCAACATCGCACAGAGCCCCGAAATCTTCATCAGCACTGGTGAGCAGTGCCCCATGGGCACAGCAGAAGTATGGAAGCCAAGCTGGGTTCTCAGAAAAGACTCAGCATTGTTCAATAGTAATTATGGTAATAATCATCTCACGGTCCCCAAGATAACTGCGTAGTTTCTGGAGGCCAAAGCTGTCGGTCTGAGCATTACCTGAAGCTGTTCATGCAGGAACCTTAGAAGCAGCTCTCAGCCACTTTGCCAAACTTCCTCACTGTTCAAAGCCTGCCACCAGGGCAGCCCTGGCAATGGAGGGCCCTTTATCAATGACATCCTGTCACCTGCCTCCATGCTCTGCTCCATCAGTGCTGAGCAGCAGTGATGCCCTGAGCAG